TTCACATATGTATTTTGTGGGTTATTATGATGTGTGTTGATAGGTGTATGCTTATTTGTGAGTTATTAGCAGTTGAGAGATGTATTTTTTGGGTTATTAGGTTGGAAAAACTTTGGCTGTTTATAAAAAAATAAAAAAATAAAAAAAAAATAAAAAAAAATAGCATGGGCTATTTTGGGAGTCTACTGTGAATGACAAATGAAGACTTTGGCTGTTTTTAGAGGCTTCCAAGACAGCCTGTTCCAAACAACCAAGGTGATCTCTATTAGGTTAGTGGCACCCTCTCGTCTTACATCAGTATAGGTTAGTGAACACATCACAACCTAAACTTACCATGTCCAATGTCTTGAAGCAAGTAGCTAGTGAGTCTACATTATAATTTTAGTTTATCAAAACCTCCTGGCTGAAAACCTCTTGGCTAAAAACTTAGGGCATACCTTCAAAGTATTTCATGATGGATCCATTAAGAGTATCCCCTACAATACTTAGCAGAAAAGGCTCTTGCCAAATACTGCCTTGTGAAAGGAATAATTGGTTTTTAAACCCCCATAATACTTGGCAGAAAAGGGTCTTGCCAAATACTACCTTTTGAAAGGAATAATTGGTTTTTAATTGCCAGAAATTGCCCAATAATGCATTGTTTCTATAAACAAGAAATGAGTCTTTAATTGGTTTTTGGTATTTTTCCTTCAAGAGTTGGAGTGATGAATGGAAAAGATAGACTATTGTTGACATTCGTCTAGAACTAAAAGAACTGRCACCCAACAATGTTTACTCGGTACACGTTCCTAATTTTACATTAACTGTTTGATAGACTATTATTGAATTTCTAAATTATTATTCTTAGCTTGATCAGTACACGTTCCTAATTTTACATTGACCATTTGATCAATACACATACAAAAGTAGGAAACCACATCATGCATCTTTGATGCGTAGGTCCTTGATACGCTTCAATAATTTATTACAAAAATCTGACATTCTATCTAGGCTATCCTTCTGAGACTAGACAACTTCTACAACTTCATCCAATGTGTCCCAAGGTGATTGTTCATTACTACTAGAAGGTCCTTATCCATCTACTTTCATTGTAACACCCGTACACTATGCTCAACATTCTACATCTGAGTTATCCATGAAAAAAAAAATTACAACAACCTGCATTCTACAAAAAAACAATTGAGGTTTAAGAAGTCAATGAACAAAACAATTTTGGATTAACAAAATTTTTCTTACCTGAGGCTTTGTGTATACCCAGAACCATTTTCCTTGGCTGCCAAGCCTTTTGGATGTGAATACTCAACATAGCCCAATGCCATAGGGACACATCCTTACTTCATCTTTCCATAAGAAGAAGTTGCATCGTTTATCGGGTACGAATTACAATGAATGAATGTAGGTTATTAAACATACATCATGTATGTAAAATAACTTACATAACTTCCAACTGACATAGTAGTGGCACCCATAGAACTCTTGGCCAATGTTCTTAGTCTTTCCATGCCTTGCCATGATAGTGATGAGCTCTCCATCTCATGGACAACATATTCATGGTGACGGAACACAATCACACTTGACATAAAAAATCATTACACATATTTCGTGAGCAAGGGTGGATGAGCATAGGGGGGGTTGAGTGTGCGGGGTGGGTGGGGCTAAGTGTACGAGGGCGTGGACGTGGGTGGGCGTGGGCGTGGGCGTGCAGGGTAATGCAGGAGAGTGCATTGAACCAAATGAACAACCCACACTGCAAGCCCCCTACGACCACCTTCACAAAGATACGAAGAGATGAGATTGAGCTCTCCTTTCTCCTTCTTCACTGACAAAGTTAATAACTAAATCTCGTTCTTGACTGAGCTCTCCTTTCTCCTTCATGACTGACAAACTCAAGAATGAGACTGATCTCCCCTTTCTCCTTCCCCAAACCATAGTGCCAAAACTCACCACCAATTCCAAATGTTAACAAAACGGGACACCTCCTACAGTGCCGATGCTGAAAAACAATGGTCGGGTACATGTAACAGGCTGCCAGTGACCAAGCCCTAATGCAAGAAATAGTCCATGTCTGATCGATCCCCAAAATGACATGAACTTAAATGAAAAGGGCATTTTTGACTGAAATTGGGCATTTTAGGAATTCTAGACAAAATTATTAGTCACGTGGTTTCACATGCAAACGGACTATGACGGTGGACCAACAGCAAGGAGGTGTGTGGTAATTGTTAGAAAACTTAAGGGTAGTTTAAGACAATATGTAAGCAGTGAGGGTATAGTTAGTCAATTTCACAACCAGTAGGAATCGTTTAAGAAAATTGCCCTAAATCAATTTCAGAAAAGAGATTGGAAGGGTTTGAGCTAGTGATTCATACGAGGAGAAAATTTAAAAAACAAGCATTTTGATCAAAAGTAACTACATGGGTATTTTAGATATTTTCATATCTATTTTTAGAAGATTCTAACAAAGGGGATTTACATGCAACCATGCCATAAAGGTAAGGGGAGGTGATCGCAATTACCAAACTTCAATGAAGGTTTCTGCAACAACCAAAAACTTCAGGGGAGATTTTAGCAAAACATGAAGGATTATTATCTAAGACTCACCTTCAATTCTTCAGATTGTCTTAAACTCACCCTGACTTTTTGAAACCTTCAGAGACCCCGTGTTAGAGATCTACGTTAGTATAGATGGTTTTTGCAAAGTTACCATTTTAATCCAAAAGACCCTTTTCATTTCCTCGAGCACTCGACCCGAGGGACTTTCCAGAAACACTCTTCCACTCTGAAACAAGCACAGTGGGTGCTAGTGGTTAGTCGTTTATTTCTCAAAAATCTTCTCATAAGCGTCATCTCAAAACGGGGCACCATCCATGTTGAATCCTTGGATAGCCCAGCCTGACCCAACCAAAAACCACTTGAAGAAATACATATACATACATTTTCTTTATATAAAAATATATTTTTTCTAATTATATATACATGTACATATGTACAAAATATGTTTTTTTTTTTTGGTTGTACAAAAATATGTATATGAACATCTTAAAGGAGATAATTTATACTCCTAAGTTGGGCCATAAAGCCCAATAAAAGATGACTATGCAAAATACATTCATAAATTCTTTCAAATCCAACTAACCCCTTGAGCTCCACTAAGCTTGGCCTGAGTTGTGTTGAATTAAGCTTGGATTGGGCCTGGGTTGATAAATTCAGATTTGACCTTAGACTGAAACACATCCAAACACAAGATTTGCACCTTTGGCTCATTTCGGAGTAAAAATACAAATATGTAGAGCGTAAAACCTTATATTTTGTATTTTTTTTAAGACAATCAAGCCTGTCATCAGAGTGATGAGAACTTACTTTCATTGACAAACCTAATCTGAATGCAGAGTATCAATAAGAAAGTCAGGAGGCAAAGACCAAATAAAAAGAGAAGAAACAGAAAGCACGTGCTTGGCCAATTTGTGCGCTGTATGGTTAGCTCATGAGAGCTGGCCTGAGGATCCAACAAACCAAGCAGTGAGGGATCCTCGACATGAGAAGTTTGCAATCTTCAATAAGATGTCCGATCCKCCTTGGAGACGGAGAGTCAGGGTGCAACAAACTCTCAACCATGCTTTTTAAAAACGAATCGGTGACTGAATCGGTCAGGGGTCCGGTTATCGGTCTGAAACATCTAACCCGTATTAACAAAAAAACATTTAAAAATTTAAAAATGATCAAAACCGTTCGAACGATTCAAACAATTAACCAGTCGGTTCAGCGATTTGCTAATCAAAATCAACGCTTTTGGAGAAAAACAAAACCGATCTTGGTTTTTCCGGTCCGATCCAATTTTAAAAACAATGCTCTCGACAACAGATGTGGGTATCGAAGAGGCAAGTTCACTGAACAAGTAAAACAAAAGATTCCAGGAAAGTCCCGTAAAATGAAACCAGCTCCACCCACCAATTGATTAGAAGCCCCATCAAAGTTAAAGCTTGATATAGTTTGGGGGAGGAGCTTCCCAACATCTTGATTGAACTGGAGAGAGTCAAAGAGATGCAGTACCCAAGGTGAAAAGGAGATTGGATGAGATCAGATTTATTTGAGATCGAGAGGCCAAAACCACTGAATGATGGTTAAATGTCTCACATTTCAACAGTTGTGCAGCTGATAACCCCAGATGTCATATCACCCAAAAGAAATAAATAAAAAGAAGAAGACAAAAACAAAAGTGGAGATTGGGAAATCAAGAAACTGATATACGACCCACTCTATTAAAATTTAAGAAAAATTACAAAGGTTCCATGAATTTATGACTTCAACACTTTGCCCCTACCATTAGCATTCCGTCATTAATTGAATATTTCTAAAACCACAAACTATCATTTTGTTTATATGAAATGCCCTTCTACCGTTTTGTTTAAAGAAAGAATTGTGTTTTTGAATGGTTAGAAGTGTTAGTGTGTTACCTTCACAAGGTAGTTATCTGTAATTTATATATCCTAAAATTTAAATTAAAAATTAAAAAATATATGTTCAGAAACATGGTCTTTTGTTGACTTGTTATTTTAATCAGTAGTGTCCAATGTTGTTAAACTCATCCTCAACTTAACACTTAAAACTTAAAACTTAAACCCTTCCAAATGGACAGACCTTTGGCTAGTTCCAAATTCAAATTAAATTCCAGTAATGGGGATCCAAATTCAATCCGTTTATAATTGGATAAAATATGAATCCACCATTATCCGGTCAAATATATAATCTGATCCAATTGTATCTATTAGTAAAACTTCCATAGGTGGCGGCCTGGTCTCAAAGTTTGAACAACATGGTCTCTTTTGTTGACTTGTTATTGTAGTCCCCCAACCTTGGAGTAGAATAACCCACGAGAGTTTGTTATATGGTTCCCACGAGCTTTATTGTGTAACCCTCCCTCAATAATTAAACAGCCATCACCACTGGTGACTAAGTTTTGCCTATATATATGTGTCTCTTGAGAGTGTCTTTTTATCAGTCTCCTCTTCAAATCCCTGTATTTTGTTTTCTACATCTCTGATCAAAGGTTGAATATGGCTTCTTACGCCTCTTTTGTTTTTGGGGCCTTGTTGTTTATCTTCTCAACTTCTGCCATGCAGACCATTGCCACTAAACACTTTGATTTCTACTATCTTGTCCTCATGGTTCTCTCTCTCTCTCTCTCTCTCTTAATTTCGCAATTCTTTAGCCAAGTTGTTTTGTCCTTGGTTTGATCTCTAACATGGGTTACATGCTAAAAATTTGCAGTGGCCAGGTTCATATTGTAAACAAACCAGTGCAGGCTGTTGCCTTCCCAAGACAGGCGAACCAGAACTAGACTTCTTTGTGAAAGGCCTCTTTCCTTCCTCTAATGATGGCAAGGCTCTTACACAATGTGGGATGAGCCCATTCTACCTTGATGAGGTTCTTATCACTTCAATTTCTTTAGTCTTACATTTCTATGTGAAAAGGGTTCATCTCATTAGTTGAATTGAACCCAAAAAAACAAGAACCACTAGAGAATTTCTAACTACAAATCTGCCATCTTAAGTGATGATTTTCTGCTTGATTCTGCCCAGATTTTGGACTTAAAGGATGACTTATATGCTTATTGGCCTACCATCAAATGTCCAAGCACTGATAGTCGCTACTCATGGATGAACACATGGAAAACATATGGTGTTTGCTCTGGCCTCACTGAGCATGACTACTTTGAGAAGGCGTTGGATCTTCGAGCAAAGATCAACATGCTCTCAATCTTTAAGAGAAACGGTGAGTTCTTCTTTTAAAGTGACCAATTGGATCAGTGATCATCCAATTTGGCAGATTTTTTGTCACCCCAATTCTGTTGCAGGAGCTTTCTAAGCTTATCAATGTGGCCCTATATGTCCAGGTATTATTTCCACAGACTATGCAGACTACAGTTTGGCCAAAATCAAGGAAGTCATCCACAGAGAAATTGGAGCCACTGCTGCAATTAGTTGTAACAAGAACATGTGGGATGAATSTCAGGTTTCTGAGATATATTTGTGTGTTGACAAGGATGCCATGACAATCATACCTTGCCCTGTTCTACCAGACTTCACATGCGCTTCTCGCGTTGTATTTGGGTCCTTCACCTATGACATGCTCAAAAATGGCACTTCTCTTTCTGACAATTAGAATGCGAACCGGTCGACAAAAGGGATCGGTAAAGAAACCAATTGGTTTCAGGCCATGTCAAGGAAATGTGTCTTGGTCTATTGAGGTAATGTGTATGGATGTAGTTTTGTTGTCCCTGTCTTGTGTGTGATTGTTGTGATGAAGCTTGTAAGTTTCTGATGTTTGTAATATTAGAAATAAAGAAAGAGTGATGATGAGGCTTCCTCTCAGCAAGGTGCCAACTGGTTAGTTGGTAAGGTCTCTGGCTGGTTGTAGAAAAAAAAAGAAGAAAAAAAGTATGAGATATGAAAGATTAATGTTCAAGAGCATGGTAAGAATTATCAATGAACTATGTTTATCATATCATAAGGGGAGACTTCTAAACCTCCTCAAGATAGAGGCAGTTACCAATTGAGGGGTGRGTCAGTTGGTATGTTAGCTAGTTTGCTCCAGCATAGATGCCAATTGGGTTCCTGCAACCACCAACTTTGGGAAGGGGTGTGGTGGATATCACCAAATACCAAAAAAATAATAAAAAAAAATTAGAGGCAGTTACGATGATAATTTTTATTTAGTTTTCAAAACATAAATGGAAAAGAAACAGGATATCTCCTATCAAAAAATACAAAAATCAGAATGACAAAAGCATCATTCTTTTATTTGTAAGCCTCTTTCTTTTGATTAGGCTTCATTCCTTTTATGCACCCATCATTTTTTCAAATGACAAAAGCATCTAAGTGCTCAGAAAACGTTGTTCCTCTCTTTCAGCTCATACTTGTTAGCTGATATTGTTAAACAGCTCAACTTAAAACTTAAACCATCACAAATGGGCAGACCCTCAGCTCTAAGCTGAAACACTACGGTATCAGATAGACTAAATTCAAATTCAAGACTATTAAGGGTGATCCGATTTTCTTTTCTTTTTTTTTTTTGGTAGGTAAAACAAACAGCAGATAGAGAAAGAAAAAAATACAACAGACAAATAACAACAAGAAAAAGAAGTAAACGGAAAAGCAAAACAACTAACTACTTTAAACCAACTAAGAAGGCTCTAAAACTTCAGACACTAAGCAGCCAACTTCACCTGAAATGAGGGAATCAGCCATGAGGGGGGGACACCTCCAAGTAGAACACCAACCCAACCTTCCTTTAGAGGCCAATTTGTGAGCTGCACCATTAATTGACCTACTAATAAACCTGAAGGTTACAGAGATATCAGAGGGAGTAGGCCAAACTACAGGAGAGCAAGCAGAAGAATTCTGATTTAACACAGTAACCAAATCAAGAGGATCACTGTAAAAGCAGAGCTTTTCTGGTTTATTCTCTTCTTATCTTTATTCATTGAAGATTTAGATATATATACACAGCCATGGAACATCAAATCCTAAATTTACAGGAACTCAAACTCAAACTCAGCGGAGTCTCCTAACCCCGGAGACTCCTAATTCAATCCTAACACCCCCCCTCAAGTTGGAGCATGCAGATTGTGAATGCCCAACTTGCAGAGAAAATACTCAAATTCTCTACGACCCAGTGCCTTTGTAAAAATGTCTACCAGCTGAACGGTAGTCAACACATAAGTCGGACGAATGCAACCATTTTGAATCTCATCACGAACAAAATGGCAATCAACTTCAATATGTTTTGTATGCTCATGAAACACTGGGTTTGCTGCAATATGCAAGGCTGCCTAACTATCACAATATAATCGCATTGGGTTCGAATGCGTCACTCCAAGGGCCAATAACAATCCCTTCAGCCATTTTAATTCACACGTGGCCGTGGCCATAGACAGATACTCTACTTCCGCTGAAGAACGAGCCACAGTGTGTTGTTTCTTAGTTTTTCAAGAAATCGGCAATTTTCCAAGTAGAATAAACCACCCAGACAGGGAACGTCGGGACAAAGGACAGCTCGCCCAGTCTGAATCACACCATGCATATAACTGCAAGTCACAATCTGAACGCAAGAGAATTCCTTGACTAGAATTTCCTTTCAAGTAGCGCACCACTCGCAATGCAGCCTCCCAATGTTTTTCTTGCAGTTGCTGCATGAATTGGGACAGAACGTGCACACAATAAGACAACTCAGGACGAGTTGCTGAGAGATAAATCAGCCTGCCCACCAAGCGTCTGTATCGCTCAGGATCAGATAAGAGAGGCCCATCTGTCAAGGCCAGATTGTGATTCTGCTCCATAGGAAAAGGAGTAGGTTTTGCACCAAGTAATCCAACTTCAGCGATAATATCTAGAGCATACTTTCGTTGAGACAGAAAGATTCCTGTTGAATTTCGGGCAACTTCAATGCCCAGAAAATATTTCAATTGTCCCAAGTCTTTCATATGGAAGCAAGCACTCAAATATTTCTTGAAGACTTGAATTGTCATATGATCATTACCTGACACAATAATGTCGTCCACATACACGAGGACAAGCATATGTACCCTGTCTCGACGAAAGGTGAATAGGGAGTAATATGAACCTGATTGTTGAAACCCATATGTCTTCAAGGCTGCGGTTAATTTAGCAAACCAACATCTCGGCGCTTGTTTCAAGCCATATAGGGATTTTCGCAACCGACACACCATACCTGGTTTATCTGACTGAAAGCCAGGAGGCATTCGCATGTAGACTTCCTCATGAAGGTCACCGTGCAAGAATGCATTATGTACGTCCATTTGATGAAGCTCCCAATTTCTAGCTGCTGCGACTGCAAGAAAGGTGTGGACAATAACCATTTTTGCAACTGGGGCAAAAGTTTCATTATAATCAATTCCCTCAACCTGCTTGTTCCCAAAGATCATAAGACGAGCTTTGTATCTTTCCACTGTCCCATCAGCGTTGTACTTAATTCGATATACCCATTTGCATCCTATGGCTCGTTTTCCGGATAGCAAAGGCTCTACGGTCCATGTCTGATTATTCTCAAGTGCTTGTATTTCTTTCTGCATTGCATCCCTCCATTTTTCATCCTTTACGGCCTCAGCAAAAGAAGTAGGTTCAACTCCTGCAGTAATAGCTGCCAAGAAAACACGATGTCGACAAGAAAAATTGTTACAATT